GGGTGTGTGTGTGCGTCGAGCGAGCGAGTTCAGCATCGACTCGAGCATGACGAGGGAGTCGAGCAAGTCGAGCCTCAATTGAGCGAACAACAATGAAAAATGGGCGATGGCCACTTTCTATGCCAGTTTTGTTATGAGAGCGATTTGAGGGCCAGCTATTTTCAAAGTTGAGGGTCGGTAGGCCGCTACCGTGTGCAGCCCTCCGAGGTGAAAAACATGAAGGCTGGTAAGCCAGTACGGCACGTGGCCCTCCAAGCAAAGTACCTGCCCACAGATCAGCAGTTGCACTGCCTAGATTGCATGCTGATTGTTTTCTAAAACGATGAGCATGCAATGCAGAACGTCTGGTACCACCAACTTCCGACGACCTCCACTGCATGCCAGTCACCCTTGAAAACGATCAGTGGGGCATCGGGAAAGAGTCAAAAAAGACTCTTCGGTCAGTCATCCGGATATCATGGCTTGGCACAGACACACGGCAGATGTACCCCGTAATGATGTCTTCCGCAAAACAGTCTGCAGGGAAATACATCTGTTTCTGACCTGAGAACTTTCCTGAAGACCAATATAGCAAGCAGTAGCATCACCATATCTGTATCTCACCTGAAAATTTCCCTGAACAGGTTTAGTGACCCGATTGTACTTCTTCAACCCCAACAGAACGTCCGTATGGCTCACCACCTGAGATAGTTCGCTTGGCCCCCTGGTTGGTCTTGGAAGGGGCAGCCTTGTCCCCTCCATTCCCTTGACAGGGGTGAGGTACGTAGCGTAAGGTATAATCAAGAGAAGAATACAGCTTAGTTTTTTAGAACAAAAAAAGAATGTCCGTATGGTCATTATCGCTGTATCTAGACTGAAATTTGCCCAAACACAGCTATAATGACCGTACATTCTTCTATTCGGGGGAAGACGGAGGAAGATGGTGGCATGCAACACCTAAGCTTATGGACACTACTCACCTACCGACAAGATCCTACCAGCATAAGAAACCAAGTTGCAACTCCCCAGAGTAGAAAGGACAACCTGCCATAGGCAAGAAAACATGAGCATTGTTTACCCTAACTATTAACTGACAAAACCAGTGAAAGACTAACCTGAGTCTCCCCTCCCCCCCCCCCCCCCCCCCCCCCCCCCCCGTCCCCTCCCAAAATAGCAATGTCTAGCTTAAAGTTTTCATGAATAGAGTGGATGATGGCACTGTCAGGAGCAGTGGCAGAAAGATCCCAGTCCATGAAGAAACGGGCAGGCCCTCGTGGTATTATGTTCATGCTAAGAAAAGAGCACGGTCAGTGCGGTCACTATCAGAGTATCTGGACTGAAAGGTGTGCCAAATGCAGCTATAATGACCAGGCGTTCTATTCGGGTGAAGACGGTAGGTACATGCTTTCTAAGCACGAACATAGCACGAGTAGGGCCTGGCGGTAGGCCTCATCCACAAGTACCTAGGAACCATTGCCTTGCATATGGATGGACATGACTGCATTCACAATGGCTTGAAGTCGCAGCGCAGTGCTCAACAGGCAAAGTTACGTGACATTCAGTCTACATGAAGGTACTATCACACCCACAAATTCAGATTGTGCACAGTTGAGAAGATATGATTACACACCCTTCCCCTGTACAAATCCACATCACAAATCAAAACGGAAAAAACAGACAAGGACAGTGCATTGCCAACTTGAGAAAAAAAAAAAAAAACTTCAAAAAAGAAAATAGCTTGACAAAAAGAAGGAAAAAAAAATGAGAGAATTTCATACACTCGGAGTCCAAACATACCAGGCTGTCATTCAAGAGACACACAGCACGATACTTCTTTTTTACGCGTAGCTGCAATCAGACTCGTCTCATTCACACTTTTCATGCATGTGAACAGCAGCACAGCAAACTGGCGACGTGCGCCCACTCAGTACTCAGAGATATGGCTTCCAGATAAGAGTTCACTTCCCCTGGCTATGGCGACTCAGCGTCCAACAACTCACTGTTCACACACATCGGATCGCCCTGGATATCCCACACGCATCACTCTGAACACTCACACAACACACACACACA